CTGGAGGGACAGGACAAGGGCAATGGCTTTAACCTGCCAGAGGGGAGACTGAGATGAGCTCTGAGGTAGAAAATCACTTCATAACACCCTGCTTATTGTTAATACCAGGCTGATGATTTAACTTTATGGTGCACACTGGTGACATTTTAACCTTGTTTGGGGAGATGTGGCCAAATACTGTCTTGGAAAACTTCCCAGTGGAAATATAACATGAACTGAAGCTGGAATTTCCCAATTCCCCCCGTCTCTGACTAAAACACATCATCATGTTTTTACTGAAACTTTGCTCTCTTTCCCCAACGCAGATCACACTGAAGATGGTGCCAAAAATGCTGTCTCCTCTCGTCAAAGAATGGGCCCCAGAGGCGTTTGTTATCTCCTTTAAACTGGAGACAGATCCCTTGATCTTAATCGATAAATCCCGGCAGGCTCTGGAGAAATACCATCACCAGGTGGTGGTGGCAAATATCCTGGAGTCCCGGAGAACCTCCGTTATTATCGTCACCAAAGACTCACAGACTCCGTTATCTCTTTCCGATGAGGAAATAGCTCAAGGCATGGAAATAGAGGAGAAGATAGTGAACTATCTGCAGGGCCAGCACACCCTCTTTATAGAGAAGAAGGTCTGAGGACCAGCTCTGAAGGAAACTGGAGAGATTTTTTCTGTGCCAGGTAAATGCTCAGCGGATCCCGATGTGAAAAGCTGCCGTCCAGAACAGCGTCACGTCTCTGCACCGTGGTAATGGTCATTGTTGCTTGTTTTGGCAAATCAAAATACACTGAAGCGAAGCTGTGCCAGAGGATGGTATTCCTTCTGGTGTTTAAAGAAGGGAAGGATATGTTGCTTTATTCCTGTTCTGTGGACTGGGGGAACTGGGAGGTGGAGAAATGTTATCTGTGTCTGTATATAAAAGATTTTCTTGAATCTGCCTCTTCAAAGTTTCTTTTGGGATTGTTGGATGGAAGGAGCGGGGCTCGGCAGAAAATGTGCTGGTTTCGTGGCTGGAGTGGAGTGACAGAGCTGGCAATCACCCGGTATTGACGGTGGGTGGTGAAACAAGGGTGGTGAAAGATGGAGAATGAGGTGGTACCAACTTTGAGAGGATTCCTTGCTCCAGGGGTAATCCAGTGGTCCTGTGCTTCAAGAGCTCTATGCAGAAACAAGCTTCAAAGCGTAGGCAGTGTATCAGTGTCCCTGAAGCAGCTGTTCCACAAAGGTTTTCCTTCCATCGTGGGTGTTTGTAGGTTGCTGGTGGGGATAAAAGCAATGAGCTGTGGCATGGAGCACGGGCAGTGGTCTCCGAGCGTGGCGTGGAACAAGAGGTTGGAGAAAAGGAGTTAATGGGGAGGTGAAAGCAGGTGGGGTGGTGGTGATCGGCTTGGGAGGAGAACTGCCTCCTGGCTGTTTGGATGGGGTTGGGACCATGACGTTCTTCGTTGTCTTCAAATCCTGCTTTCATATGATTACCACCATCCAAGCATATATTCCCCATGCTTGCAAGAAGCAGTGTGGAATTTTGGGGTAAAAAACCTAAACCGCAGCTCTACTGCTGTCCATTGTGTGCCTACTTACAGGCTTTCCTTGAAATAAATTCGCTGGAAGCCTGTAAAGAAAGGCAGTAGTGTGCAGGAACACTGTTCTTGACACTAGAAGCCTCTCCAGTGGTGAGACTGTGATCTGTTTAAAACCACCCAGTGTGCAGGTAATGTCACTGGTCACCTGAAAACTGGGTGTGCTCATGGCATGAGAATAAATGCAGAAGAGCAAGAAAAGTGTGAGGATGGGCTCAGCGGATCACGAGGGAGCACTGAATGCTAAAGGATACTGGGGAAGGATGCGTCCAGGTGAGTCAGGAGTGCTGGGACCCAGCTAGTAACAGCCAGGACAAGGAACTAACAGTGTCTACATGGCTGGGGTGGCTGCTTGAGGAGGATGGAGAGAACTGAAGTTCATAGACATGGAAGTGCCTGTCAGAGATGTGCAGATAGGGAAGGAGAAGGTGGTGGAACGTGTATGGGACAGGACAGGGAGAATGGCCTTAACCTGCCAGAGCAGAGTGAGAAGCTGCATGGGAGGCAGCTCTGCACGGTGAAGTCTGCTTCACCTCACACCTCCATCTTGGCTTCCTCCTCAGGGGAAGCACTTTGCTGCCAACAGCTTCTCTTGGGGTGTAGGGGAGAAATGGGAAAACCCTCCAGCCCGTTCTGCTTGAGGTTTGGGGGGTTTGGTCTGGCGAGACCCACTGCTCACAGCTCTTCTTGGTTCCCTCGTGGGCAGGGCTCCCGGTACCAGCAGAGACCATCTGCTGTTGGCTGTGGGTCACGGCCCAACTCATGGGTGTACAGCCCAGTTCTGCACACTGGGGCACTGAAAAGCAACCAGCAAGCCCAGCATCTCCCACAGAGCGGGAGTCAAGAGCCCCCTGCATCCCAGCACCTCCCTGCCTCCAACCCCTTGTGCCTCCCAGACCTTTCAGTCAAGATTTTAACATCCCCCGGGCATACAGAAGGAGTGTCCTACAACTGTTTGAGTTTATGCTGTAAATACAGGGGGAAGGAGAGCTGTTTGTACCAGCAACTCACCAGTGAGGCGTTAGCAAACATGTGCAGGTATAGTGATGGTTTCTTTATTTCTAGATGGAGAGGTCTACATGGGCCAAGCCTGTAACCTGGTAGAGAAATGGGATGCTCCCTCCACCGAGCATAAGAGAGAAAAAGAACAGCTCAGGCTCAGGCTGACTGGGCTGCAGCTGGGCAGTAATCCTTTCCCTCTGAAACGTGGTCCAGGGAGCTTTGTGGGCAGTGCGGGTCATTCAGCAGAGCTGCTTTGACCCTGCTGTGAGAGCAGGAACTTTAAGGTCCCTTCCAAACAAAGCCAGTCTGTGGTCGTTCTGTGATGATTTGTGGTTGACTTAGAGGTTCTTGTCTGTTTTTACTGCCTTTATTCAGTGACTTGGGCAGTTTCTCACTCTGTGTGGCTCTGCTGTTGCATTAATCATCTTCCAGAGGCTGTTTGAAGAACAAAATTGATGGTGCTTTTTGTTTTCCAACTCTAAACTGTCTGTGAGGGACTCCTCGGGTAGCAGAGTGTTGATCTGTGTTCCTAGGGACGGCAGTGAACTTGCCATTGGCTTTGCTTTAGACAAAGTCCACGTTTTTAAGACACCTTTGAAGGACAAGACGTTTGTGATGGCGATTCAAAACTTGTCATGGGTGCTTATGTCAGTGCAATGATTCTGTTTAAAACAAATCACTTACATTTAATTTCAAACAATTTGCTTTCCTTTCTAGCTCTGGGGTCACTTCCAGTAAGGGCAAATGGATTTTTCTGGGTTTAGTCCTTGATTTACTTCGGTTTTCCTGCTCTCCTGTTGTGCTTCGAGTGCTGCTGATAGTTACCACTAAACTCCTCCTCTTGTGGTGTGTATTATCCTGGTCCTAAGGTAAAATTGGGGCTGGCAGCACAGCTTGAACAGTTTCTCTGTTACATGCTTTATTTGGGGAGCAAATACAGGAGTTTGGGAAAGCTGATTGCACTTCTGAGGCTGTTCAGGTTTTGGTTTTTGGGTTTCAGTGGAGCACATCTGGGGGAGTGACTTCTCAAAGTCACCTGCTTGGCAAATGGTTCCTCTGGGAACATAAAGATGGCACATAAAGCCGTCGTTCAGCACTGAAAATGCTGCTGTGTGAGGGTTTGCACGAGTAGTGAGCATCGCTGCGGCAGAGAAACTTCATCACTGGTTCTTCTCCCAGTTTCCCCACGAGGTGGCAGGCGGATGACAAAAATAACCCAGAAGTTGTCTTTGGGTTTGTTTCTTTGCGGTGTCTTTGCTCCTTTGGCATTTTCCCATTTTCCAGTGATTCCTGTGGCTTTCGAGCATTCACAGTGGAATGGAAACACAGGTCCGTGTCCATGACGGGTTGCTAATTGCAATGGAGTTGTCACCAGCTTCCCTGTGGAGCTTTTGGTGCTGTATGATGTTTGTGTGCAAATTTGCTTTGGGATATCACTGCCAGACTTTGCTTTTTAAGGCTTGTTGTTACCTTATGGGTGGCATTAGCTGTGATAGTCATTGATAATGCAGTGACCTGGGCAGGGATGAAGCCCTGCCTTCCCCAGGCTGGCCTCTGCAGTGGGGGATGCCAGCCCGGATGTGTTTTGGGATGCTTGGAGATCATTTTCTTGAGGGACTGGCCTCCTGCTCTGCAGGTCAGCCTCTTCACCAGTGACACCCTGGCTGTCTCTGGCACAGAGCCATGGATGTGCTGGTTCTTTACCTGCCAGCCCTTTTGCCTGCTCTGGGTCTCCAATGTCCCTCTGCTGCAGGGTCTATTCCCTGGGCCTCTGCTTTTCATCAGAGCTGGTGCAAACCAACCCAGAGATGCCCCCTGAGCCCTGCAGAGTGTGGGGCTTTGGGTCTTACTGCCCTGCTTATTTTTGCAGGTTGTCTTTAGGAAGGACACGGTGATGCTGCAGATTGGGCTGGAAATGGGGCTGAAGAAGGATCTTGTGGGAAGGCACAGACAGGTCTACTGGGATTGTCCAACAAAAGTGTGAGCAAGGCAAGAACAGAGGGTGGTGGGAGGGAGGTTTTGGGAGCCTTGGAATGGTATTGATGGGAAAGGGCAGTTGAGGACAGAGGCTGGTGCAAGCCTGTGGTACAGAGGAGGGGCCTGACCTGCGGATGGTGAGGTGCAAGTGGAAGGGGTCTATCTTGATCTTGCTTTGGGAAGCTGAGGGTTTGGGAAGGGAAGAGGCAAAGATGAAGGTAAATGCAGGAGATCACTCGGGTGGGCTCTCTTGAATAGAAATAGCCAAACAGATCACAAGCTCTGCTTGGCCTGGGGATCACTGGGAGCAATTCCATCTGCCAAAAGCTGTTTCTGGTGGTAAAAGTGGATTTCTGCTTACACATTTGCTTCTGAAACAGGCTTGAAGGATTACTGCAGAGAGCAGACACTGCTGCTTTTACACTGGTCATTGATCTGAGCTTTACCTCATTTGGTGCCTCTGCCCAGAGTGACATTTGTCCTGTCCTCGAGGCAGTTCAATCCATTTGTGATGGTTCTTGTCAAACACCCCGTGGTGTTTTGGAGGCCTGGTCAATAACTCATGCACCAGATGTAACAGCAGAGAACACATTACTGCCGGGGGCTTGCTGGATCTGCTTAAAATGAAGGAAAAGAAGCAACAGTGGTGGCCTGAGCTTGTTTGTGGTACCAGCCGGGCTGCTCCAACACAGCCAGCATCAGGAGAGGATGCAGCTTCTGGTGGGTGTGAGGATATGGATGAGCCGCTTATTTCTGAGGAGCCTCCTGGGGAAGGCACCTCTGCACATGTAAAACTGCTTCCAAAACAGTGTCTGCAAGGATGCAGCAGGAGATACTCACTGACGGGAGCACAGCAGTGAGGTGGTACAACGGTGCTTGGATGAGGTGTTTGCTCTTCTCAAGTAGGATGCTTTGGAGGTGGTAGGGAAAAAGGTGTTGGGGATACCTGCAGGGTAATCTGTGCTGGTGGCAGGCTCCCCTCGTCCTCACAGATCCTTTTTCCTCTTCAGCCTGTGGAAAATTTCTAGGTCCTATTACCACAAACTGTTTTGCAGGTTGGCTGCAACCATCAACGCGG